TAAAGTTTTCTAGGGTAGAAACTTCCAATTCAAGCTTTTCTTCAAAAGATTGCATCATAGCATCAACGATATGTTTAGTAAAAGCTTTGTTTTGACTATTAGGATGAGGAGAATTCAACATGGATTGGAACAAGGAAATACAATCTATTAAAGAACAATTATCGTAATTAAATTTCTTGAAATCTAAAAGAGTGGGTTCATTGCTACCTAAAGTTTTGACCTCTCCAATCCCACTTTTATCAATTTTTGCATCAAGATCTAAAAACTCTGAATCATTGGGACGCCTTCTAACTAAAGTTGACTCATCTCCAGTCCCATCTTATCAAGATTTACATTGGAAAAAAAAGATTCAATAGGAGTCACATCAATTACTTTAAGATCTTCATCATTATTTTCATGGAAACTAGAAGAACGTGATTTTATAAACCAATCTTTTTAAGCACGCATCTTAGCGGTTCTTTCTTAGCACTCATCAATGGAAATTCTTATGGCTTTAAGAGACTCATTAATATCATGCTTAGGTGGAATAGATCTAAGTTTCAAAGAATCAACATCAAGAGAAATTATATCCACGTTACTAGCCAAATCATTAATCTTAAGCAATTTTTCTTCAATCAAAGCATTGAAATTCTTTTGTGTACTTACAAATTTTTAACACTATTCTAAAAATCAGAGGGCATCTTATTATAATTTCCATAAAAATTGTTGTAGGAATTACCATAACTAGGTGATTTCCCCACGCGTTGCTGCGGGATTTTAAAGATTAATTTTAGATACATTCTATATGCATGAAATGATCTAAATCGAAAGCTATTATTTTCAGAAGTAATTCTATGTGAACAAATAATATGCATGTATGTTGGACTATTGGAGATGGAACAATTAAATTGGGATATGGATGTGCTACAAAATTATTCTAGTGGATGATGACGTGGCACATTTGGTGATGTGGAGGGCTGCATGTTGGGAGAATTAGACTTAGTGGGGATCAACTATTTGTGTATTATAGATTATTAGAGGAATTACTAGGAAATGGCCTAGGATTAAAATTACCTCTATACGTGTTATTACCAAAATTGTTCCTACCAACAAAATTCACATCCATAGATTCATTATTATTCTAAATCAAAGTAGACAAAGGCATATCATTAGGATCAGTAGGAGCACTACTGCTAGCAAATAATTTCATAAGCTCATCCATCTTTCCACTCAAAACATTAATATCTTCAATCTCATCCACCTTTTTACTAGTGGAAGATCTTTCGGTATGCCATTGAGAATAATTAACCATAATATTATCTAGGAGTTTAGTGGCTTCTCCTAAAGTAATTTACATAAAAGTACCTCCCGCAGCCGAATCTAAAAGATTTCTAGAAGCAAAATTCAATCCGGCATAAAAGTTTTGTATAATCATCCACAAATTCAAACCATGAGTAGGGCAATTTCTAATCATTAATTTCATCCTCTCCCAAGATTGTGCAACCTGTTCATGATCAAGTTGCTTAAACATAATATCGTTCCTAAGGGAGATGATCTTAGCGGGAGGAAAATTCTTGGAAATAAAAGTATCTTTACACTTATTCCATGAATCAATACTATTTTTAGGCAAAGATGAAAACCAAGTTTTAGCACGATCTCGAAGTGAGAACGGAAATAGATTCAATTTAACAATATCATTATCCACATCTTTTTTCTTTTGCCTATCACACAAATCAACGAAATTATTAACATGGGATGCGACATCTTCATTGGGAAGGCCGGAAAATTGATCTTTCATAACAAGATTCGGCAAAGCGGTATTAATTTCACAAGATTCCGCATTAGTAGTGGGAGCAATCAAAGTACTAATAAAATCATTGTTGTTGGTATTGGAAAAGTCACACAATTTGGTATTATATTGAGCAATCGTGACCAAGCAAGCAATCCAACACACGAGCACACAAAAAGCAGACGAAGAAGACGAACGGAAGAGGGGCGAAGAAAAGGCGAATCTATTTGAAAATCGTCTTAGAAATGAGGGAGAGAAAAACGAGAGGCGAATGGAAAATAATGTAATGTGAGGGATGAGAGTTTATGATGGGTACTTGGTATGTCTCGCCTTGGCGTAGATCTCCCCGACAACAACGCCAGAAACTCTTCCTGCTACCTCTTGATCTTGCGTTGGTTTTTCCCTTGAAGAGGAAAGGGTGATGCAGCAAAGTAGAGTAAGTATTTCCCTCAGCTTTTGAGAACCAAGGTATCAATACAGTAAGAGACCACGCAACAAACCACCGAATACCTGCACAAACAAACACCAACTTGCACCCAACGCGACAAAGGGGTTGTCAATCCCTTCACGGTTATTTGCAAAGTGAGATCTGATATAGATGGATAAACGGTAAAGTGATATTTTTGGTATTTTTGGTTTATGGAATGAAAAGTAAAAGATTGCAAAGAAAGTAAATAGAAAACTAAAATTGTAGATCGAAAACTTATATGATGGAAAATAGACCCGGGGGGCATAGGTTTCACTAGAGGCTTCTCTCAAGATAGGAAATGTTACGGTGGGTGAACAAATTACTGCCGAGCAATTGATAGAAAAGCGCAAAGTTATGACCATATCTAAGGCAATGATCATGAATATAGGCATCACGTCCATATCAAGTAGACCGAAAGAATTTTGCATCTACTACTATTACTCCACACATTGACTGACTCCTGCCTGCATCTAGAGTATTAAGTTCATAAGAACATAGTAACGCATTAAGTAAGATGACATGATGTAGCGGGATAAACTCAAGCAATATAATGAAAACCCCATCTTGTTATCCTCGAGCACCGCAAGATTGAACCCAAAACTAAGAACTTCTCCCATTGCAAGAAAAACCAATCTAGTTGGCTAAACCAAATCGATAGTTCGAAGAGACTTGCAAAGATATCAAATCATGCATATAAGAATACAGAGGAGATTCAAATAATATTCATAGATAAGCTGATCATAAATCCACAATTCATCGGATCTCAGCAAACACACCGCAAAAAAGAATTACATCGAATAGATCTCCAAGAACATCAAGGAGAATATGGTATTGAGAATCAAAGAGAGAGAAGAAGCCATCTAGCTACTAGCTATGGACCAGTAGGTCTATGGTAAACTACTCATGCTTCATCGGCGAGGTACTGGTGTTGATGTAGAAGCCCTCCGTGATTGAATCCCCCTCCGACAGGATGCCGGAAAAGGCCTCTAGATGGGATCTCACGGGTACAGAAGGTTGCGGCGGTGAAAAATGATTTTGTGGCTCTCCTAATAAGTTTTGGGATATTCGAGAATATATAGGCGGGAGAAATAGGTCGGTGGAGTCATGATGGGCCCACAAGGGTGGGGGGCGCGCCCTCCGTCCTTGTGGCCGCCTCGTGGCTTTCCTGACGTGCACTCTGAACCCTCTGGATGTCTTCTGGTTCAAGAAAAATCATCGCGATTTGGACTCCGTTTGGTATTCCTTTTCTGCGAAACTCTAAAACAAGAAAAAAAAATAGGAACTGACATTGGGCTCTAGGTTAGTAGGTTAGTCCCAAAAATCATATAAAATAGCATATTAATGCATATAAAAGATCCAAAAGAGACAATATAATAGTATGGAACAATCAAAAATTATAGATACGTTGGAGATGTATCATATAACAATGGGTGGGTTTACATATGAATGGGTACATAACAATCTAAATGATAAGCCTAGTCTCAAAGAGGGCATGCAACTTTATGAGTATATTCCAGATGAACCCACCCATTGTACATATTATGCACTTCCTTTTAAAAATGACACAGTAGGGGCTTTCCCTGTAGTTTTTCGTCACAAAGAATCTATGCATCACAATTCTATTTAATTCTTCAATTGTAGAAATGGAATTTATATTTCAAAAGAAATATGGCATGTCATATGAGTTTTGTTTTAGTACAATGAAATGTTTTTTAACCAATTTCTTCCATTTCACTTAAAAGGCCGAGTGCATGCAAGTAAATAATTGACTAAATGACACATGGCCATGTCACTAGAGAAAGAATTTTATTATGCTGTGCGCACACTTCAGTTTCCTGATCCTACTACCAGTATGTGGGGTGAAGAAAAATAATTTTAACAGTACAAGTGGCTTCTTCTATAAACTACTCCCTCCGTTCCGAATTACTTGTCTTAGATTTGTCTAGATACGAAGGTACCAGCACTAAAATGAGTTTAGATACGTCCGTATCTAGACAAATTCAAGACAAGTAATTCGGAACGGATGGAGTAGTCTAGTGGTACTTACATTGATGAGCTCATAATTTCAAACACCGAGCTTAAGAAAAGTCATATTGGCAAGGTAAAAAAATAGGTCCACTCAAAAAAAAGGTGGACCACGTAGAATCTCTACAATGAATGAAAACCAAAAACATGTGAACATATGATCGAATCGCCACACAAAGTTCCCGCAAAAAAAAAAAAGAATAGCCACACAAAGTATACACTGTAACAACATTTATACTCGTAAAAACAGTTTTCGGCCCTCTGATGAGTCTGATCCAAGTTACTTGAAATGTATGTAATTCATGTATACCCGTATACAAACCTGTATACCGCAGAAAGAAGAAGAAGAAGAAGAAGAAGAAGAAGAAAACAGACATCAGGGACTCTTACATCGATGTACAATTCTTGGCCTTAACACGAGGATGAACACCTATGTTACGCAGGGACTTGCTTGCTCTACCGGCCACCCCCTCTGCCTCCTTGGCCGGTTTAGGGGACAGAAGAGAGGCTCTTATTACACAGAACGAATCAATAAATTAATGGAATGGCACGAGAGGAATTACAAGGTGAAAAGGAACGGTCGTCGTCGGTGATCGATGGTGTGATGTGATGGCGATGATCGACTCGAGGAGGTGACGCATGGAACGGTGACTCGGTGATGGTGATGGTGGTGATGCTTCGAGGTTATTGTCTGTCTGGAACTGGAAGTATGCTGATGATCCATGGTGCTGAGCGCGCCTACTGAACCATGGCGAGAAAGGAGCTCGCGGGGGTCGATGTCGGCGCCGCTGTCGCCGCGGTGGTTGGTGATGGAGGCGCATTGTTGGTGCCGACGGGGTTTGGCCTCTGGAACTGTATCCTGTACTGCATTTTGCCGTCGTCCTCGCCGTCCTCGCCGTCGTCAGTGTAGTCATCGCCCATGTCGTCGCTGTCGGTCTCGTCCGTCGTGAACTCCCGGTGCGGCTGCTCGTTCAGCTCCCTCACAGCGTCTTCTGGCTTTACGGCAAGCGCATATCCGGTTAGTTTCCACCCCGAAAAACATCCATCGTGATCGACCGATCGAGCTCAAACACGCTAAGCTGCAAGGTAAAAATGGTGTGCGAGATTACCTTTTTTACACCCAGGTCGAACGTGGCCGTCGGCGGCGTTGTCTGCCCGTTGCTTGTCGGTACCTGCGCGGCTCCGACTCCTCCGTTGTTCCTCTTGTCGGTGTCGTTGATCTTCTTCCCCTCGATCTCGATCTCGTGCCGGTTCAGGTTCTGATGCTCCGCGACGGCAGGGACAGGCACGACGGCGTTGTTGGCCGCGGCGCCGCTGCTGCCGCCGCCGTTGTGCTTCTTGCGGTAGATGGCCTCGAGCTGGTGGAAGTACGGGCATGTCTTGGAGTCCTCCGGCCGCCTCTTGTTGCTCTCCTTCACCTTCTTGAAGTACTTGTTGATGTTCTCCCACTTCTCCTTGCACCGTTTGGAGTTGCGGCTGTAACCCAGCCGCCGCATCCCGGCGGAGATCTCCTCCCAGAGCGGGCCCTTTGGTCCGTTCTCCTGGTAGCGATTGTCCATGTCCATGCGCAGCTGGATAAGCGCGTGCACCTCCGTCTTGGGCCACCGTGACGACGACGGCCCCCCTACGCTCTCCCCTCCTCCCAGACCAGCGGCCTCGACGACGTGCTGCTCCGTGGCGACGGGAACCAGCGCGAGTGATAAGCCGGCAGAAGTCGGGGCCGGTGCGCTGCGGGGCGTCCCGGCCTCTTCGCGCGTCGTTTCCTTGTGTGGTGGTTGCGACGGCGGTTGTTGTTGGAGGGGCGCAGCTGGGATGGGCTGAGGCTGAGGCTGCGGCTGCGGCTGTGGCTGCTGTGTGGCCTGTGACGGTGGCGGTGGCGGCAGGTGCTGTCGAGGTTTCTTTGGCGGCGGCGAGGTCTGGACCTGCATCGGCGTTGGCATGGGGATGACGACGGGTGGGACATGCACGGCCTGCCCACCGATGCGCTGGAGGAAGGCGATGATGGAGGCATCGCGGGAAGCTGCCGCGGCGCGCTCTTGGGCGAGCTGCTCCTGCTCACGGTTAAGCCGGGCCACCTCCTGCCGGCGCCAGGCCTCCTCCCGCGCCGTGCGCTCGGCCTCCCTCTTCTCCATGGTCTCCAGGAACCGCTGCTGCATCTCCTCCTGCCTCTGTACGACCTGCTTCATCAGGCCCTCGAAGAAAGCCATCATCTTTTTGCTACCCCCGCCGCCACGCTTTCGCTTGCCGAGGCCGTCCGGGCTGCCGCCGGTCTCGGCCGTCATGTCGTCGTCCTCGGAGTCGTCGTCGTCATCCGACTCGGAGTCGGACATGCACGGGAAGCTCAGACCTTGCAGGCTGACAGGCGGCGGCTGGGGAGGCTCCACGGCCGGCGCAGGCGCCGCCGAAGATATAGGGGCCGGCTGCATCGGCCCCGGCGGCGGCGGCATTGCGCTCATCGGCTGCGGCGCGGAGAAGGCGTGCATCTGCGGCGGGGGGGCGGCACTGACGACGAGAGGCAACTGCTCCTGGTGCTGCTGGTGGTGCTGCGCGGCGGCGGTGGCGGCGTGCAGTGCCTCGAGCTCCTGGAAGAAGCGGTAGCTCTTGCCGTCCTGCCGGCCGGCGCGGCCCTCCTTGGTGCGCTTGTAGTACTTGTGCACGTTCTCGAACTTCTCCTTGCACTTCTTGGCGCTCCTCTTGTAGCCCAGCTCCGCAAGCTTCCTGAGACCAAAACCAAGACAGAAACGGAAGGTTAATTACTCGCGTTGCGTGGTACTACAACCAATCAACCAATCAATCAAAGGACTGGAAGCAAGAGAAGCAGAGCGGATTAAATGAGCAGCGGTGCGTTTACAAGAGGAGGAGGAGGAGGAGGAAGAAGAAGAAGAAGAAGCTTCGCGTGTGTGTCTTCTCTTTTTCCTCCTCTCCGGGCCGACGAAAGAGACAAGGAGAGGGAAGGGCGAGGAAGGAAGCATATAGGCAGAATGGGAATTAGTTAAGCGCAGGCCATCTCGTCTTTTGAGGGGTGAGAGAGGGGAATTGAAGCCGATGGCAGTAGAAAAATGGGGATGGAAATAAACAAAGATGCATGAGTGAGGCCGCATTGGGATGGGAGAGAAAGGCTGCCTTCCTTCTTTTCCCAAAAACTGAAAGCGAAAAACAGTGGCAGACTGCGCCTGCAGCCTGCCTGCCTGCGCCTGCACTCACACCGTGGTACGAACGATCCCCAGGAGCCCGCCCCAGATTCTTACCGCCACCCTACGCCTACCACTCCTCCTCCTACTCCACGGCCTCGCTGAAACCGAGGCGCATTTCATTAGATCGGCCAGGAAAGGCAAGGAAAACTAGAAATTCGAGGAGATAACAACAAGGGCGCATAATTTGCCATCATTTCATGTGGAACCATACCATCCCATTCCAACCAGCGCTAAATTCCACGAAACCGTTAGCCGCTTGCGCTTGCGCAGGGGGGAAATCATGGCCGAGACAAGATGCCGCTGCGGTGAATTGCGAAATGCGTGTGGAAATTACCGTGCGATTTTACTTTGTCGACCTCTTTCTTACCTGGAGACCTCCTCCCAGAGGGGGACCTTGAGGGTGGCGTCGCGGAAGGTGGTGTCCATCTCCGACCGGATCCTGATGAGGGCCAGCGTCTCCTCCCGCGGCCACCGGTTGCCGCCCGACCCCAGCCCGCCGCCGCTGTGCCCGCCGGAGTCGCCCAGCATGTCGTCGTCGGGGAAGCCGCTGGCGCCGGCGCCCGACGCGCCGGCCAATTCGTCGTAGCTCGGCTGCGGGTTCTGCTGCTGCTGGTGCTGGGTCGGCGGTGGCCGGACGCTCAGCGGCACAGGGGCCGGAGCCTGCTGCGCGGAGAACGGCCCCATGTCCGCCGGCTGCGGCGGCGCCCCGTACTGAGACGCGTCACCCTGGTGCTGGTGCTGCTGCATGGATGATGCCGCCACGGCACCACCGCCTCTACTCCGCAAATTGTCCGGCGGGGCACCAAGCTAGCAAAGGAAGGCAAAATCTGTATGTGCAACAGGTGGTTGGCTGTAGAATTGTGTGGAGCAATCGAGAGGGAGCAGGACTAGTGAATTGTAGGGAATTAATTGTGGTTTCCGGGCTGTGCTCCTAGCTCATCTCCTTCCTCTCTCTCGCACACACACCGAGTGAGTATGGTGCGGGCGGAGAGGGAGAGAGGGAGAGGGAGGGAGTAGAATTGGAGGGAGAGGATGAAATAGGAAAAGGAGCCCTGGTACAAGTAGGGAAGGGAAGGGAAGGTCCGGGGAGGCCAGAGGAGGAGGACGCTGGCTGGGGAGGGGATGAGGGCGAGAGAATGGTGAAAAAGAGTGGGGGGAGCGTGGACAACTGGAAAGGGCCCAAGAGTGTAAGAAAGAGAGGGAGGAGAGAGGAAGCTGGCCAGGCAAAGGAGAAGAAAAAAGAGAGGGAAAGTAAGGGGGTGCCCCTACAAAAGGGAGGGCTGCTGGTGCCTCTACTGATTGATCTCTCTCTCTCTCTCTACCCTACGACTCTTCCTCCCTCCCTCCCTCCCTCCACCGATCGATCTCACACCAAGAACCAAGGTATACGAGATGTATGTATGTATGTATGTTTGCACACTTTGTATGCGCCGACGACGCCGTTTGTTACGGGGGCGATGGCGTTTTATAGCGGCTGGTCCAGGCAGGGCCTGGGCCTGGTGAGGCGATAGATAGATATGGCGGGATTAATGAGCCGGGCATGCGGACAAAAGAGGGAGGGTGCGGACTGCGCAGGCAGGCGGTGAAACGGAAACGCCTGCACGGTGAGGCCTCACCGGACACGTGTGCGGCCCCCGGGCCGACGTGGCGCGGCCATGCCGGGACAAGTGCGCCGCGCTGACATCGCCCTCGTCCTCGTCGGAGCGCGGCGCGTAGCCACACATGACACACAACCTCTCACGCCGCGCGCGTGCATGCATGCATGCACCCATGCATGGGCGGCCGGCAGCCCCCCGCGGCGCCGTGCCACATACGCGATCAAAATGTCTCTCCCCCCTACGCGAAATACGGTGGAGATAGAGCTTTTCTTTTTAGATAGATAGATAGAAAACGGTGGGGACAGAGTGACTGGATAGGTATATCTCCTAGCCCGCTTTCTATCTTGGAGCTACACCGATATATCTTTGTACCAGTAGTAGTAGAAAAGATTTGCCTTTGCGTACGTGCATGCCGGCCGCGTGCCCGCGTGCATGCATGGGCATCCTCTCGCCGCGTACGTGTTGCCGCGCTGCATGCATGGCGCGCCGTGTCGTGCTCGGGTCGAGCGAGCCCCTTGTATCTACCCGCCGCGGGTCGTACCGAGCCCAGACGCGCGCCTCGTCACTGTGTCGGCAGGTTCAATGCGCGCGCGCGCGTGGTGAAAAACGTACTGCATGCGGCGCAGGTTGGCGCCGCTGCTCCACAATTAATAACCCAGCTGCTCGTCGTCTAGTTCCAGATAGATAGACAGATATCGCGCATTAGTTCAGCGGATTTCAGCATTAGTCGGGCAAGATATGCGCATTTGTTTAGCGCGTTCGGTCGCTAATCTGGTATGATATGAGTATCCTTTTTCCCGATCTATACTCGGCTCGGCTAGATCTACGTATGCATGTGCATGAGAAGCATGCCCGCGTGGTTGGTCTGCTTAGGCAATTAATCACCGCACCCGCGTCGTGAATGAACCTTTGCGTATCGATCGATCCATAATTCCTCGTGCTGCACCTGTTGCTGTAATTTCGACGACAGAGAATTAATAGTGGCTTATATACATAAAAAATAAACAGAGTAAAATAAGAGAGTGCGAGCCCTGGACGCTAAAGGCTCAAAACGGGGTGGTACAACGGTGCTGGGCCCCGGGCGAAACGGACGGTTCTGAATTTCTGATGAGGCGTGGACGCCGCCGCTGTACAACAGCATGGTTGGTGGTGGGCCGGGTACCCTGTAGGCCCACAGCAGCAGTAAAAACTGCCTTTTTACTTCCACCTCTGTTGCTAAAAAAGTTACTACCTCCGTCTCGGTGAATAAGTCATTCGCGTAGTTTTAGGTCGACGAATTAACTATCTAAATATGTATTATATGTGACAAAAAATATATATTTAAAAACTACACCCGTGTAGAAATCTAGTGATATACTTTTTTGACATATAACACATATTTAATTTCTCAAATCGATGACCTAGAACTACGCAAATGACTTATTCACCTAGACGGAGGTAGTATCCTGTATCTCATCAAAAGATTTTAAAAAACTGTTTCTCAATATGCATTCAGAGAAACTATAGATGTAACAAATTAAAGACCCTCCGTGTATACCCGTACCACCCCATGCATAATTAGACGTGTACAGTGCTGTACAACTGCACATGTGTCCGGTGTACTAATATTACGGTAAAACACCACTTGCTGAGGCCCACCGCAGCCTGTGTTTTTAGATTCCATTGGAAGCGCCCCGTCACAGGGCTCACATGTCAACCAGTAATCATGTTTGCAACCCTGGCACGTATCAAATTAGTTGCATTTTTGTATCAGTATGTCAAATAGGACGATCTGTGTGTGTGTGTGTATACTACGAGGATAAGCCAGCCGATCAATCAATAATTACAAGGAGTGTGGCCGAAGCAACAAAGAATATGCAGGACATGTCTTGGTTGAAAATTTCACACCCAACCACCCGGCCGCCACTACTAATTAATTGTTTGTGACTACCGCAAGAAAATTATACTATGCCCGTGGCCATGATTAATCGAAGCATCAGGCTAACTTTTTTTTTACTGCGATGAAAAACCTAGCTATTTGGACCACGAGCAGATGGATAGAGCCCAGTTCTGGCGTGTGACACCGAAGTAGTTAGTAATATTATTAGGCCCAATCAATCAGTGTCTTAATTGAGCAGCCGTGTACATGTACCTTTCAACCATCTGCTAATAGTGCTCGATTTTTTCCACTAAAAAAAAAAAACAGTGCTCGATTTTTCCCTGACTTGTTTTTTTTTTACTAAAACCGGGAAATATACCCATCCCAGATAATAAGTATATATCACTAAGAAAAAGATGGGCCCCGTGAAACTGAATGGCTTGTGAGCTTGGAGTACAAGCATGTGCTAATACTAAAATATTCCCCGATTTATTTACGTTTACTAAACCGGGGTATTTGTGTATTTAGACATGTATCCGAATGGAAAAGACGGGCCCGGCGAAACAGAATGGCTTGTGAGCTTGGAAGAGAGCAATAATACAATCTTTTTATAGCTAACCAACAAAATAATGTTTGGTGCGTGCTGCGATGCGTCTGGGCCTCGGCCTTGCTGTGACATGCATTTGCCTAACAGTCATGCATGTCGCATTTGTTGCCATTCCACCGTTGCGCCATCTCTCCGCTGAATTATTGCGTGCACGGAAAAAAGAGCACGTACGCCAAAATCACCTCCTCCTTCAGTTTTCCCCTGAACTTTTTCTGGTACCCGCCAAGTTACCTGACGAGCCGTGCGGCGAAATGTTGGAAGCCAGCGTGCGCATAGACGGCAGAGTTGAAATTCTTTCCCAGAAGAGACGATGAAGAATTGAAGAGGGCGTCGTTAAAAAGTTAGCCATGCATGCATGGCGTGGCGTGGCTGAAATTTGGAACGGGCACGGTGCTGGCTTTTGGAGAAGAGAAAGAGGCCGCGGTAGGCGACAACAGTGCACCGCAACAGCGGTGCGGGGAGGTCCACCCTACGGGACGGGGCGTAACAGGGAGGCTACAACGGAACGTGGCGGGCGTTTATCGCGGATCCTACCCCACACCTCCGTCCAAAATTCCTACCGTGCCAGCCTGGTAATACGTACCACCTCGGCACACCAGCCATGCACCATGCTCCTGGCCACGCGCGGAGAAAAATGAGAACGTTTGTGCAATTTTTCAAAGGGCAGTACCTGGTCGACGCGCAGCCGCCCGATGCCAGCCATTACAGCCGTTCGATCTGGCTTCCCCGTTTCGTCCACCTCACCCCGCACGGGATTGACTCTGTCCTGGCTCCGCCTCCGCCTCCCCGTGAGCCCTCCCACCTCTGCCTCCGCCTCCGCCTACCTCGCCCCTGCCTGCTTGCAGCTCCGATGGACACTCATGTCGTCGACGCCGCCGTGCCGGGCGCAGCCCTGCCATGACGGTTCCGGCTCTGCTTTGGCTGGTTGTAGCAAAAATGATTGCTAGTTCCAGCCAAATCAAATATGGTTCTAGAAAAAAAATTGTAGCAAAAATCATGACAGTGAGGGCAACAGCTTCTTGATTTGTAGCAAAATAGAAAAGGGATTTCAGAAAAAAAAAATGATGTAGCAAAAGAAGTGATGGCGATGACGGCACCACCAACCTTCAATTGCAGCAAAATAAAAAGAAGGTTCCAGCAAAACATGAAGTGGCTCCAGCAAAAAAA